ATAAAGCACAACATCCAAATTAATAATACTACAAACACAAATTATCCAAATCCAATGTCCAAAATTCAAAGTACAAACTAGAAAGTCGCAGCAAACAATACTAATGTTCAAAGTCCACAACAAGTGTAAAAAATATCTAAATTGGCATAAGAAATTAAAAAGTTAAAAAAAAATTAGATTCGGTCGGTTTGGTTTTTAACCGAACCTTTAAACTCAAAACTGAAACCGAACCGACTTTGAAAGAGTTCGATCGGTTAACCGAACCAATTACTTTCAGTTCCACGCGCCGTCTTTTTTTGATTTTTGAGTGGTTGATTCTTCAGTCTATGGCGGTCGGTTTCGGTTTGAAAGTTTTTTTTGTACATTCCTAGTTCTATGCTCTTTCTCTATTTATTCTTATTTCCAACCGCCGCCGTCACAGAGAAACTCACCCATTACTATCGACTAGTGCTTCCCCAAATCTCCTCACTATTTCACCTTTGGATCTCCAGCCTCTACCGTCTCTTGCCTTTAGTAAATATGATAACTTTCTGCAAATTCATGTCATCGATAGAGTTCTGCAAAGAAGCTTGGCAGCTGCAAAGGTAGCAACCAACGAATTATCTCCGTCTCATCTATGAGATTTGGCAACTGCAACCTCTTATTTCTCCCCGTCATGGCCATCGTCCCTTGAAACGCCGCGACGAACACGACAGCGAGATATTGGATGCCGAGCAATTTACGCTCAGATCTCTATCGATCTTCTTGGTTATCGCTTTGCAGAACCTCGCTAAGTTTTTCAACTGATTTTAACTGACATTTGTGTTTTTTAAAGTGATTTTTGTATTTTTGAAAGTGATTTTGACTCGAGCTTAACATGTGACCTCGCAGCTCTCGACAAACATGACAGTGGGATCTTAGTCGTTGTGAAGAGCTCCTTAAGAGATGACCGCAGTGAACCCGATGAGATCTCCATCGTTTGTAGATCCCTGAGAGCAATTCTCACCGGAGCGGAAGCTGATTTTCTATTTTTCGTGCTTTTTTTTTTGTGATTTTTAAGTGTTCTAGTGATGGGGACAACCATAGAACCACTGGTATTAGCAGCAATCGATTGGTATTGCACCGAAAATTATTTTTCGGTTGGCCACCACCGTTAACTGCAGTTTCCAACCGATTTCGGTGGTATGGGCTGGTAACTCAGTGGTTACCGGCCGGTAACTCGATGATTACTGGTTGGTAATCCGTATGGCGCTGGATACTGGCCAGTATTGCCACCAAATACCAACTGATATCATGGCAAATAACACAAGCCAAAGACGCTGGAGAGAATTCCGATGACTATTGCACCTGATACTGGTGGTTCTTCGTAAGATACAGTCAGGTATCTTAATTGGACTCCTGTTTTGTGGCCGGGTACCGACGGGTATCTCAGTTGGATACTAGTCTTGCGACCAGAGACCTGCCAGCATCCTAAATATATATTTAATACGGAAATAGTAGAAAATATGCCAATATGAAAAGCTTAAGAAAGTATATAGGCTAATTTTTAGTTATACAAATTAATAGGCCATAACTTGTCAAGTTATGGTTCATAACCAGATAAGTTATGGACAAACTTGTCAAGTTATAGTTCATAACCAGACAAGTTATAGAGAAAAACCGTGAATAACTTGTCAAGTTATGGTTCATAACCAAACAAGTTATGGACAAAACAGTAATTTCGCCTATTTATTAACTTATGTAAACTATTGACCTATTAATTTTAATTCATCTTAAGTCTTGACCTATTTTTCTCTTTCTCTTCTCTGTATTTAATATTTTAAATATAGTGTGATGATATAATTATAATATTCTCGCAATTTTTTATGTGGGAGTTCTCTTTAAAGCCCTTTTTAAAAATTGTCCTTCTATATGTGTAAATGGCCCAATTTGGAAACCCTTTGCGAGGCTTGTGAATTGGGCCACAATAAAGCCCAAAGAAAATAAATAGTAAGTAAACCAGAGCATAGAGAATTGGGCCTGAAACAAGTCCATGGTTAGTATAAATATCTCAGAAATGCCCCAATCCTCGGCTTCTGCAAATTAGGGTTTGAGGGCTTTCTGCAGACAAAGATCGAAGCAAAGAAACCCTAGCTGAAGATGGTGAAGGGGCGCCAAGGAGAACGCGTCAGGTCTGTCAATTATATCTTCTTCAAACCATTTTTTTTGTCCCATGCGAATTTTGATATTTATGCTTATTTTCTCTACTTAATTTTGCGACAGACTCTACGTCAGAGGAACAATCCTAGGATACAAGAGGTAATTATCGTCAATTCCTAAAGTTTATTGCTCTTTTCCTTGGTTTTCCGGCGTTTTTGTTTGGCTGCCGAGAAATAAAAATTGAAGAAAATGGATGCGATCTTGGATTGGCACAAGGGAAATGGTGAAAAAATTGATTTTTTTTTTTTCGATTTGGATTAGGAATTGATTTTTTTTTTTATTTTTTTTGTTTTCTATGGTGGTTAGGTCGAAATCGAACCAGTACCCAAACACGTCTCTGATCCAGGTTGAGGGAGTGAACACCAAGGAGGAGGTCGATTGGTACCGGGGAAAGCGCTTGGCGTACATCTACAAGGCCAAGGTGAAGAAGAATGGGTCCCACTATCGCTGCATTTGGGGCAAGGTTTCCAGGCCTCACGGTAACAGTGGTGTTGTTCGTGCGAAGTTCAAGTCAAACCTGCCGCCTAAATCTATGGTATTGTTAAATGGAAATTGCAAACGTTGTTTTTGTTATGATTCAAATAATGGGTTTTCTGATTTTGTTCTGTTCTCTGCTTGCTTTTGAAGGGTTCGAGAGTAAGAGTTTTCATGTACCCCAGCAACATTTAAGGTAATTTATCGGGAATTTTTGTTTTGTTTCTTTGTTTGCTTTTCATAATCATAGTCTGGCAGTATTGAATGGATAATTGTATATAATGTTGCTTGGTGTTAGAGAATGTACTGATGTTTGTTAGTTTGTTAGATTTCTGCTACAATTTAATTAGAGGTTGTTATTAGCCGTTATAGTTCCTCTTGTAATATAATCAGTATATATAACTTTTCAGTAATGCACTGAGGGTGTGTTTGGTTGGGTGGAAAGGAATGAAATAGAATGAAATGAAATTCTAGTTTGATGTTTAGTTGGGTTTATAAGTAATGAATGATCATTTAAAAGGAATGACCATTCACCCATTTTGGGTGAATCATCATTCTTTCCTCGTATGGGAGGAATGACCATTCTAAGTTCTTTTTTTATTTCATATGGGAGGACAGTAGTTATATCTTATAATATAATATAATATAATATATAATAAAAAACATTATAATATAATATACAATTTAATGGAGCATTGTTCAAAACACTACTTACGTATGCCTGTTATAACATACAAGTGATTCATACTGATTCGTTTCTTGAAACAAAAAAGTAAGAATTGATTTGTTGTACATCAATTTGATTTTTTTTAGCAAGGAAAATGCAATTCAGACTCTCGACTTCAAAGAATAGTTGATGTTTCTACAATTCCGGTGCTAGCTTGCGACTTGCTGGCTGAGATTGCATGAAAAATATTTCCCCCAAGTAATATGCTTGCCAACCCGAATAACCCGACTTTACTCGAGATCACCTAAAAGGTTATGAGTTTGTAGACTTAAGAGAGTGTTGCGGTCTAAAATTTTGTCAACCTGCATTGATCGGGTCGGCTCAATTTTCGGCTCAATCTGACCCTACAGGCTGATTTACACCCCTATATAATAAGATAACGAAATGTAGCACATAAGAATGTTTAGCCAAACCAGGAAAAGGAGGGAAACCAATAAAAAGAAGAAATTGGCCTGAATGGAACATATCTGATATTGTAGTATATAAGTGGAGCCAAAATTATGTGGACAAGACAAGTTAGAAACGTATGTCAATAAGGGGGGGGAAAAAAAGCAAAATAAAAAGAAATAAAAAGAAATGTGTGGATCGGTAATACTGTTGATTGAGATTATTATTCATTTATCGGGCATTTAATATTTCTTCATAAAGCAAAAAAGAAAAACGCGCATGCCTAATACCTTTCAAATTTGGCTGTTTAACAACAATATGTAAAAGAAAAGAAAAGCTTCCATATCAGATAACAACAGCCGAACTGTCGTCCAAAATAAAACTATGTTTGGAATTGATCCTGTTTTTATTTTTCACGTTTTATCAGAAAGAAAAAATAAAAAAATTATAAAACAGTATTTGGCACAATAAAGATAAAAAATAAAAATAAAAATAATTTTTTGATTTAGTATAAAATAAAAATTACTTTCATAGCTACCAAACATTAAAGAAATTGTTCATCTTTTTAATCTTTTTCTATTGTCCGTGCATTTTCTTATCTTGGTTATCTGTTTTGTGAATGCTTTAAGTTGCAAATTTTTACTAAACCAGTTTCATTTTGTGTGATTTTCATCTGCTTACTTCTTTTTGCAGTTTATTTATACTTGCTTTTGATATTTTCTTGCAGTTGTTCAGGACCTATGGTTGACAGAGATTGGTCACTTGGGAGGGGATTTATGTTTTATGAACCAAGTTTTTAAGTGTCTTGTTTGTTTAGAGCTGAATCAATTTTGTTTGGTTTAGGGTGTTTAATGGAGCATTGTTCAAAACACTACAGGTTAAGTGAATGCACTTATATTTTGTTTAGCTTTTCTGCAATTTGAGTCCTCGCCAATTCCTGATTTATCAAGTTGACCAATAATGTTCATCTTTCTGAATTGCAAGTGGAACAATTTTGTTATAGGCTTTACTTACGTATGCCTGTTATAACATGCAAGTGATTCATACCGATTCGTTTCTTGAAACAAAAAAGTAAGAATTGATTTGTTGTACATCAATTTGATTTTTTTTAGCAAGGAAAACGCAATTCAGACTCGACTTCAAAGAATAGTTGATGTTTCTACAATTCCGGTGCTAGCTTGCGACTTGCTGGCTGAGATTGCATGAAAAATATTTCCCCCAAGTAATATGTCGTCTCTTAAGTATTTTTTTTTAAGTGGATTTTCATGCCAATACTCTGATATTCCCAAGTGGACTTGAGAACAAAATATTCACATCAAAATGTAAACGTGGTGTATGCTTGTCATCAAATTGGAAGCATGGTGTATATTTCTCATAAGACGATTGCATGTCGTAATCTTGTTTTCGTGATTGTAAGATGAAATAGTTGTTGTTGAAGTGTGCATGAGTCCCATCCGGATTTTCTTTGTAGTAGCCTCGGGTATGCAACGAGTGCTTAAACCGAAGAAGCCATTTTTGGCTTCAGTTTCTGCTATTTGATATAGAGGAGATGCATCCGCAGCTTTTTGAGGATAAGAAGGGAGGAGTTGGAGGCTGTCAATGGCATGCTCCCTCTGGTTTTTGTACATCACTTTGCATTTTTATAACATCACATCAGTCTTTGAACGGCCTCTTTTTTTTTTTCTTTTTTTTTTGGGTGGGGACAATTTGGTTTTAAAAGTTTTTCCTGTCAATTATTTCTCAACTTTATTGTTGTTATCGCCATTTTATTATTTTATACGTAGTTTTGGTATCTAGTCCTAAATTGAATGAGAGTATTTACGTGCCCACCACATATTTAATTGGAAATTTTACAGAAATAGTGGTGTAAACTATTTTAATTTTAATTTAGTTCTTTTTTTTTGCAGTGAAAATAACATTTTGCATTATGCAATTTTTTTGGCAAAATTTTAAGATAGGACGTGGTGATCACCTTTGTTACATTTTAAAAGTTCAATTTCAATTTTATGGTTAAGGACAAAAATATGAATAAATAAAATGAGAAATCAACCCACCCACCACAAACAAAAAATAATAATAAAAAAAAGAGTCTCGCATTACTCGAATAATTATAGGACTGACGGTCTTCAAGGACTAAGCATGCCGAAAGCTCTATAATTTGAGTGTTCATGTAACTTGTTGTGTAGTCACCTAAGGTAGGTGCCAATGACATACCATGAAAATAATTGTATCATTTTCCTAAGTTCTCTAAATTTTTAGGTTTTATTATGAGTAGGAGAAATTCTATCTTTTTCATAATAATAAGAAATTGCACCTCACATATAATGACTTTGTTGTTATGCATTGCTTATTGGTTAAAAAGGTTTTGAGTTAAACTCAAGGTAATGAGTAAGCATATCTCTAATTCCGTGCAATTAATTATATTTGTGAGGCGCGACCTAGCGAGAGTAGCTTTGCTTCATTAAAAAGGGAAAGCTGGACACATTTTGAATCTTCTTTCCAATGCATGAATAAGTATGTGGACACTAGACCGCATACATGGAGGAGATTGTGCAGGTGAACAAGAAATGGGTGCCAAAAAACAAAAACAAAAAAAACAAAGAGCTTTGTTTGTTAAGAAGCTAAAATATTGTCACATTCTTATATGAGAATTCAGAACTATGGCTTTGACCTAGTTTGTTGTAGCACGTGAATCAAGATCTCCTGCCTTGAGTTGGACCATAAAATAGGAAACCATGATCCCCTTTTCTTTTTTATGTTATTGTTTCTATTTTTATAATATTGTTTATAATTTGTGACAAGAAGTTTATTTAATCTAAAAAATTTAAATATACTTCCACTCTTGTGATTTTTGACGAGTATCTATTGTTCAACGTTGAGAAGCCTATATCACATAATTAGAAGGTCACTAATAATAATTGGGAAATGAACAATTATCCGAACACGAATTGCACAAAATTAGATTTACAAGTTATTATAAGCCTCAAAATAAAATATATTAATATACGCTGTGGGTTTTTCTTTTTCTTTATTAAATTTTTTTATGCTTCTAATGATATACATTGTCGGGTTAGGCCAGCTAACAGATGGACATATACGAGGACGCATGTACAAATATTTTTGTGTATTGTTTTTCTAATTTTAGATGTAGAAAACTCCAAACTCAACTACTACAAGTGCAAAATTATGCAGGGATTACCGGTTAAAAGTGGCACCCAATGCTCAACGCTATATACTTTTCCACGTACGACCACTACATGTTGAACCTACCATGATTTCTTTTTGTTCTGGACTTTGATATTCAACAAGTTTGGTAATTACCGAACACAAAATGGGTCATAATCAAAACACAATTTTTAGTGAGACTAAAGCCTTTCCTGTGATTAATTATCTAAACTGGCTAGAATTTGGCATCTTTTTTCTAGGACAATCGGATTTTTGAATAATATGTAAAAGGAAACTGGAGCGCAAGGAGGTTGTCCCCAATTATGCCATCATTTTTAAACGAGTTTTGCTGAGTAGGCTGCAAAATATAGATAGTCCATTGAGCTATAAAGAATATTGCAAAATTCATAATAAAGCATAACTTAAGGGATTGGGCACGGTTGGTTCATGATTTTTTTTTTTTTTTTGGATCCTTTAGTTTTAGAACGAAAATTTTTGGAATAAGTTATTTGAACCATGTTTTGGACATGTCTTTAGCAACACTTAGTTAGACGCTGAGTAGGCTGCAAAATATAGATAGTCCATTGAGCTATAAAGAATATTGCAAAATTCATAATAAAGCATAACTTAAGGGATTGGGCACGGTTGGTTCATGATTTTTTTTTTTTTTTGGATCCTTTAGTTTTAGAACGAAAATTTTTGGAATAAGTTATTTGAACCATGTTTTGGACATGTCTTTAGCAACACTTAGTTAGACGGGAAAAAATATGAACAAAAGAAAGACATAACCTAGGTAAAGAAAATAGAAAGAAATGAGAAGACTTTTTGTATTAAAAAAAAATAGTATTTGGTATGGATTCCTTCCTATGTTAGGAGATTGAAATTGTGGTTCTTTGAAGGATTGGAAATCACTCACTCAGAATCCAACTGTCATTTTTTCTCTAATATCAAACAATCATGGGCTTAAAGTTCTTAATTGCACTAATCCCCGCTACTCTCCCTCCTTCCTTTTTTCCCTCTTACTAAACAAGCTTTAAATCGATGTATTGGAAATTAAATTTACGAGGCTGTGTTTGATTTGCTAACTATAAACATAAAACAATCAAGATAAGTAACTGGTTGTTTTGGGAAATAAAAATTAACATAGATTGGTCCCAAAACACTATTTCCAAATGTGCCCACCAAACCTCTTATGTTGGTCTCTTTTATTATTTTTTTATTTTTTTTTAACAAATGTATTTCAAATCAATGAGATACAAGCACTAATAATGACACAAATAACCTCGCATTACAATAAGACAACTCTGATTACTGACAGCACCACTATTAAGTTCTAATGAAACGTCTAAGGAGAAAAAATGTGCACTCCAACAACAAAAAGTTGAAAAGACAGGGAAACGATTGACCATATATATGACTTTTTAAATAACTCCTCTAAAATCGATAGAAAATTTCGATCGATCGAGATTAAGAGACATGAAGGTCACTCCCAACACCGCTAAAAAAAAAAAAAAAAAAAAAAAAAAAAAAAAAAAAAAAAAAAAAAAACTCAAGTAGATTCAACTAAAAAATAAATAAAAAATGGATAAACTACCACCATTATTACAAACATGAAGCAATAGCAACACAACAAATACAAAATCTAAAAGGCGAACAATACGTCGCCATCTGATGAGCTCAAAACAAAAGTTTTCTAAACTCAATTCTTCAAGAATCAATAAACCAAACAAAAGGACAAAATTTGCCATTATTCTTCTTTGATGTTTTATTCAAAAAATGTAAAATACTCATTGTTATGAAGTTTATGAGATTTCTAAGGAAACTATATGATAATTAATTGTCTACTATGCATGTTTTTTTTTTTTTTTTTTTTTTTTTGGATTTACAGTGCCATGAAAATGTGGATTGGGGTTTTTTTTTTTTTTTTTTTTTTGAAATCGAACGGTATAATTAGGTTTGTTTTGTTGGGGCTAAACCCGCCTGTTGTTTGCAGTGAAAGAGCAAAACGGAAAATCATTTAGCACATTATTAAACACTTTCCTTATTATGTAGTACATGATAATAATCGCTCCATGGGTCGTTTGGATTTGCTTAAAAAAACTGTTTGACTTATTTAGTCACTCTTGAATCTATTTAGATAGCTAAACTTTTGACTTTTTTAAGTATTTTTAGAACAAATCATCTTCTTGCTTATGAAAAGTTTTTTTATTTACATTTTTAACCTTTGATTTGTGAACAACAAATTAAATATCTCATCTATATTATTTTATTACATTATTTTTTATAACAAGAAGTATTTTTGACTTTTTTACCTAAACAATTTCAAAAGCACTACAAGAAACATGGTTATTAGCGACGACGAAAAGTCATTGCAAAAAATCCAAAGTCATTGCAAACATGTTGCCGTAATTGATTCGTCGCAAAAAAAATTTTTGGGACGACAAGTCGTTGTCGCAAATGAGTCGGTGCCATTATTTCATTGGTTGCATCGTCAAGATGACATGGCATTAATTATTTGCGACGACAATTCACAAATTACGTCGTCACAAATAATGTCGAATTAACTGACGCGGCATCAATTTTTTGCTACCACATTTATCGTCACAAATAATATTTTAATTTTTTATTTATTTTTTCTCATTTTAATAATTAATGTTGTATATTAATATATATTTAAACCCAATATTAAATATAATTCATGATATTATAGTACTAAAGAAGAATTAATTAAAAGAAATATAAGTAATATAAAAATATAAATAAAAATAAATTGTGTGTGTATTAATAAAATAAAATAAAAATGTAATAATAGTAGAAAGTAATTATAAAATGTACAAAAATATAAATTATTACATTAATAAAAATCTAATCTCCTAAGT